TGTAAAATTTTTAGGATCGTAAAACAAGACGGCTTCAGGTAGATCATTTTTTAAAACAGCTTTTCTTCAATTCTTCATAGCATTATATTGGCACAAAAAAATATTTAGCTGAGGTCTTTCAATATTGCAGCAAACATTTTTTTTTTGGATCCTCACGGCGTGCATCAATGGTGGGCACTTTTTTAGGCGCCCCTAGGGTTACGCTTTCATCGCTGATCAAATGAATTTATTAAAAATGAGTATAATTAAAATACTCGATTGTGATTAGCTTAGTTTACACTAAATTTATCATTTTGCCAAGCGGGAATCCTAAAAGGAAAGCGGATCACAAAAATGCGTGGTGGGCTACCTAAAAGGCAAGTTGCAGTTATATACTGAGCTTGTAAGCAGCGTTAAGAACTTTTTTCTTCAAGCTTGTGTTGTTCGCAACAGTTTAATATTATTTTTCGCTTTAATAATTTATTTGTTTTTTTAATGGAAATTTAGTCATTTGTTATCTTATTATTATTACTACTTTACTTTTAAGGTTACTATTTTTCCATTATCGGGTGATGAATAAAATATTTATTTAAAAATTTTTTTTAAAAGACTTGAAAAAATAATTTTTCTTATAATTATTAATATTGTAAAATAGTTTACTATTACTTACGTTTTTCTTTTTTTACATCTTTTTATTTTATTTAAAAATATAAAAAATAATTTTTTTTATAATTTTTTATATTATAAGATAGTTTACAATTATTTAAGTATTTTTTGTTTTCCTTCTTTTTATTTTATTTAAAATAAAAAAAATATAAGTAAAAAAAAGTTATCTTTAAATGCGTGTTGTTACTTTCACAGTTTTGAAAAGGTTTTATATTTTTAGAGGATTTGTTTGGGGTTTAAATTTATATTATTAAATTTATTATTACTATTTTTATAATTTATATAAAAGTACAATAAAAAAGTTTTACTTTCTTGAAAAAATTGATAATTATAAAGAAATTATGATTTAAAATTATTAGAGTTTTGTTACTTATTATTACTGTGAATAAAAAGAAAGTTTTTACTTTAATTAATAATTATTAAGCGAAATAATTTATTTTTTTTTGTAGTAATAAAGTTTTTTTAACTTCGCAATTCTATACTTCTTTAATCTTCCTTCCATGTTTTTTACTCTAGATTTTTTAAAAGAAAAAGTTACGCCAGTAGTTCCCTTTGCCCATTTGTGTACTAGAAAACAGTAGAAAACAAAATTATAATTTATAATTTTTATAAATATTCATTAGTTATTACTGGAATTATTTTAACATAAAATTGATTTTATTAGTATTATTAAAGATGTATACTTACTATTATTATAGAAGGCACAGTACCCGACTCCTTTTGAGGAATCGCTAATAAGAAAAATATATATATATAAAAGCAGTAAAGCGCAAAGCCGCTTTTAAATAATAAAATTTTTCTTATTATTTTAAAAAATTGTTTAATTTTTTTGCTTTTTAGTTTTAATATAATTCAAAATTTTGTTAGTTATTTTAAATTTTTAGGTTTAATTAGTAATTTTAGTCAGCAGTTTTATTACGATAAATTTTTGTAAGCGTCGGCTTGTACCCATCTAATTTTGAAGAATTGACGTGTTTCATTTTTACATCTTAGAAAAATTGCAAAAGAAACCTTCTTTACTTTATTGAGAAAATAATATGCCGAACAATTTTCAACGAAGATTTTAAAATATATTTGTAATTAAAAACCAAGGGATTCTCAATCAGTCAACTTTTTTTTTTTGAAAACAATCAATTGTCCTTTTGTACTCTTCTAATTATGAACAATTGACGGGTTTCATCTTTTTATCTTCCAAAAATTATAAAAAGGTCTACTTAACTGAGAAAATAATCTGCCGATCAATTTTTAACGAAGTTTTTAAAAAATATTTGTAGTTAAAAACCAATGATATCTCAATCAGTTAGGTTTGTTTTCTTGAAAAACAATCAATTAGATTAACCTGTAGGTGACAGTTAATTTAATTATTCATAAACTCAAATTTGTAAATTATTATGTTTAAAATTTAGTAGCGTTGGGTTTTTTTTTTAAATAAACATACATACAACATCGTTATAGGATGAAACAATCAAACTCGAGTAGTAAATTGTTTCTTTTATAAATATATTAAAATAACGTTAAGTTGATATTCATGATATAAATTAGATTTATTTTAATTGACCAAACCGCTGAAAATAATACTAATTAAACATTACAAGTAAAATTTTTTCTCTTTTATATTTATATTTTAATAAGATTGAGTTTGAATTTTAAAACGAACAAGTAAACGTGTTAGGGGATGAAGCGGTTAGAGTAATACTTAATAATCTCCAGTAGTATAATTGAACTTCATTTATAAGTTATAATAACGGTATGTTGAATTTATAAAACGGAAAATTAGATTTTATTAATAGATGAAACCAATCAAGATAATACTTAAGAGATTCATATAGTATAAAGTATATTTTATAATATAAGCTTTATTTAATTTTTTAAACAAACATTAAGATTTAATAGTTAAAAAAACAGTTAAAGTAATACTTAATAAACTCAATAGTATCACTGTTATTTTTCATAATTATATATATATATATATATTAATTACGTTATGTCAATTTTACTAAACGGACATTTAATATCGTTAGTAGATAATTATATCAAACTTAAACTTAATAAACTCGAAGAGTGCTTTTGATTTCCTATATATTTCTAATAAAAAAACGTTAATTTGTGTATTTTTCAAAACAATATATATGCATGGAAGAAACGATTAAATTAAAAACTTGATAAACTGATAGTATAGTTTTTTTCTTTTATAAATATATTTTTTAATTTTTCATAACGGCGAACAGTTATTAAAATAGTTAAAATAATACTCAAACTAAAAAAGTAAAAATTTTTACTTCTTTAATCCTAAATAAGGTTGTTTTGACTTTTAATATCGAAGATTTAACATCGTTAGTAAATAAAGATTTAAAACGTTGACAACTAATCTAGTAATTTTACTATATTTTAAGAAAACCGCTAAATAAATTTCTTTTTATTTTTAGTTGATAAATAGATTTGTCAGAAGAATAGTTTAAAAGTTTTTTCCCCTTTTTTAAGAAAACTGTCACGAGCAAGCAAGCAAAGTGGAGTTGTTAAATAGAAAAACTAGAAAATGTTGCTTCGTTTTATTCTTAAAGGTTAGCTATTTTAATTTTTCAAGATGGAAAAGCATAGTACTTTAGTTTTGGTAAATAAGGACTTATTGTGATTGTTATGTTTATTAGCTTATCAAAAACGACATAAATATTAATAAACTTGTTCTTATAATAAAGGACCGAGTAAACTGCTAACTTAGATCTATTGACTTTCGTTCATTTATTGTATGCTTGCAATACCATATGTCTGTTTTCAAGGAGTTTCAAGCCTTAAACATTTTTTTTAAGGCTTGCTAAGTCCTTGTGTATCTCTTTGTAACCATTCTTATAATTTTTTGTAAACACTTTAAAATAATTTTTAAAGATAAAATACTCTATCTATCCGTGCTTACTAAAAAATTAGCTAGGTAAAAAATATAAGATATATAATTTGCGAAAGTTAGTGAGTGGTAAAAAATTCTAAAGACCGTTATTAAAGAAGTTAAATTATTAAAAATAAAATTTTATCCGATAACAAGTCTATCGAAAAATGCTGGCTAATGAATTGTTAAAAAAAAAAAGTTTCTAGACAAAAAGTGGGTTTAAAACAAAGAGCAATCGTAAAGCTATTTTTGGCGTAGACTTTACAAATTGTCAAGAGTGCTATAGTGCAGCATACTGCACGTGATGATAAATGCGTCGTGGTTTGTGCGAAATGAAACACTTCACCATGTCTCTATTGACGTCGTCTTCCAATGTAATTCAAATGCCTCTTACGACAGGCTAGTCAAGCACACTTATCGCCTGCTAATGAGCAAAGTTGATTACAAGCCATGAAACGGGATCGCCGCCCACGTGATGGGCGTGAGCGGTGGCCAAGAAGATAATGACACATCGATAGAAAGCTGTATTGTAATGTCTGCGAGCACTCCTGACTGAGAGTTCGAGTATTCGAAAGTTTTCTGACTTGATCAAGTATCAGGAGCTGTCATTCATAAATATAGGTTATATAAATAAATTGTCAAGTGCAGGGACTCTTCCCTCCTGGATGAGGAGCTCAAAATCGGAGAGATCTGCTTGGCAAGTTGCTAGCCAGTGTCTCCCGGGCGGCCCCGGATCTTGTGCTTAAGGCTTTTTCTCTCGGTAGCAGTTTTTAGGGGTTTTCCTCACTCTAAGCCGAATGGCGGAGTACGAGCCCGATATTTTCCGTTTTTTCAGTCCTTCGGTCAGAAATATTTCCTTCGAAGAGATAGAAAATCAAGCTGATAACCAAAAAACACAACTCTAGCGTTTTTTCCTTAATGGTTTTTTAACTGTTCATTTTACACTTGCTTAATATTTAGATATATTGTACGTTTTTTTATAATTTACTCATTTTTACTTTTATTTTTTATTTTTTTACAGACGTGGATTTATTAAATTAGGGATTGATTTTTGTACCCTTTACCAAGTAAAAGATGCAGTTCAAAGTTTTAACTATTACGTTAAGTCCATTAAAATAATACTCTAGTAGTCAATATTAAGATATTGTTACTTTAGAAATTTTAACTATTTAACTTATAGGTAATTCCTGTCTCCACAGTGCAAGTTAGATATTTCTAGCGCAAACTTCTCTTCAATTATAATAGTCTGCGCTCAATTTACCGACCAACCGCAAAATTTCACTACCTCTTCTCCACGGGGCAATACAATGTTTCGCTCTTTCTTCCTTTTATTTGCCTTAATTCGTAGTCATCCTTTACTAATTTATATATTCTGAGGGCTACATAGCTTTATTTTTTAAAGAGAATATAGAGACGATGAAAAAAATAATTCGTGTAAACACCCATTTTATTGAGTATGTTTAGGAGAACTAGGCAAAAACTAGCTTAGTGCGAGCAAATCGTAAAGATTAAAAGTTCTAGAAGTTGCTGCTGCACTAAACTCAGGCCTTGTAGGAAGTGATAATGGGCAAATTTTAGACTACCAGTGTAGTGTGTTCTGCGCTTAAAGAGGAGGAGGGAAGGGGTGTTGGAGTAACACCTTTGATTGGAAGCTTCGAAGCATTACATTCATTTCTATCAAAAATGTCCTATTTTACAATTTCCCCCTCATATGCGGTCATTGTCCACTATTATATCTTATTTTTTCATGATAAAAACGTGAGCAGCAAAGAAATTCTTCAAGTTCGATACCTCTTATAGTTGTCTAATTAAAAAGTTAGAGAAAGAACAGAAAAATTAAAAAAAAACAAATTTTTTGACAATAAAGTGTTATTACCAAAAGTGTGAGGCTTAATTTTAATTATTGGGTTTCCACTGAGGTAGCTTTTATTTGTCAAACTATAAAAAAGGTCTTCCAGTAAATATCTTATTGTACTATACATAAAGCAAAAATTTATGTAAAAAAAAAAGCTGCCTTTCTAGTTAAAATTTTACTAAAAACATACCTTCTCTACATTAATAATACAATAAGCAAACTATAATATAGTAAACTTATAAACTATGAAGATCTTGTTTAACTCGGAGAACAAACCCTTCTCTTTCAAGTAAAATTTTTACTTCAATCTTTAGAAGGCAAAAAAGTTATTAGCTAATTAATAGTTTAATAAAATACTTATATTATACAATAACCACTTGTTCTTATAAGTTTACTTAAACTTACAAATAGTATAAATTTCCCAGGGATGAGAGCAACCTTTCCAGATGCCAGTAAGTAGGTTATAATGTAAATATCTTTTGTTGTACAACACAAAAGCAATTACCCTTAAAATTAGAAATAAATTTTATATAGAGGTTTTACAACAGAGTCAGTGCGCTTGGTCTGCCAAAAGAAATCATCTCTGTTGATATGCGATTATGGAAAAGAACCCTAAATTATATTATAACTTGTTTTTGATTGGCTTGGTACGGTTTTGGCTGTTGTGGACTTAAAAAGGAGTAAAATTGTTAGAAAACTCAAGTTTTACTAAAATTGAATTCTTTTTGATATACAATCAACCGCTCGTTCTAATTAATTATACTCAAACATATAACGTTTGAATTTTCCAGGGAGAACATGAAATTCCCGAGGGCAGTAAGCTGGTTCTTTTTTAAATCTCTTTTATTGTACAACTCAAAAACAATTAGCCTTAATATTAGAAAATAAATTTAATAATAAAAGGTTTTTACAAATAACCTAATGCGCTTAATTCGGCAAAGAAACCATCCCCTATTAATGATATGCTATTACTGCTAAGATTCCTAAATTGAGTGTTATAAGTTAAAGTGAATATTAGTAAAGAATAAAAAAAAAAATAAGGCAAAGGGAAAAGGTAAGTAATAGTCTATTACACTACAACGTTACTTGTTCTTAATTGGTTAGTACGGTTTTGAAAGTTATAGACTTGGGAGTGACGCGGATATATATATAGTACTAGTACCAAGTATCTACCATGGCATAGGGAAAGAACACTATTGGCCATAGCCACCAGCTCCGCGGAAGAGCACTGATAGCCGAAGACCATTCAAATTGAATCCTTTGAAGTAATCTTTTTTAATGCTACTTATGAAGTTTCCATATATATATATATATATATATATATCTCAATAAAAAATAATTACTAATTAGACACGATATATCAGTATGACTTTACTTAAAACGCATATATTCACAACTTGCACTGACGTTAAGCTATCTAGCTTAAAAAACGAAATAAATAGAAGACCAAATATTAAAATTATCAATTTCTAACTTCTAATTTATTTGAAGCTATAGTGAAAAACTTTTACTACAAATAAGAGCCTTACCGCAGTCTCGACAAAATTAAAATATCGTTTATATTAGATAATAACTTACAATCATTTAATGTTAGTGGGGACATTTTCTCTCGGATAAGTTGTTTAGTGGCATTCTGACGGGTCCCTTTCAATTTCCATAGCTGAAAATTATTTGAAATTTTGTAAATGACTTCGGTGTAAGCAATTTTAGCGGGTTTGTTTATTATAATTAGTATTAGTATTAGTATCACTATGACTGTGAACGTTTTTAGGTTTTTTTTAATGTTTAACTAAATATTTTTTTTATATTTTTTTATAAATTTTTTTTTAATTCCTTTTAATGTCACTAATTTTTATTTAAAAATTTTTTTATATTTTTTAAATTTTTATTATTTTATAATTTTTTTAAGTTGTTACTAAGTTTTTTTTAGCTTATTATAATTTATTTTAAATATTTTATAAAAGTTTATTAAATTAATTTTTTTTTTAATTTTTAAATAATTAATTTATTTGTTACTAATTTTTTTTAAACTTGTAAATTAATCTTTTGGTTTTTTTTCCTATTTTTATTTTAACTTTTTTAACTTATTAAGATTGTATTTTTTTTTCATAATTTTTTTAAAATGAATTTTTATTTTTATTTTTAATTATTTTTTTTTTAATTTTTATATATTTAATATTTTATTAATCCTTTTTCAATACTATTTACAACTTTTTTATTTTAATTTTTTCTTTATAAAATTTTTAAATATTATTTTAATTTTTTGTATTTTTTTATTTTTTCTTATAAACTTTTTTTTTTTAATATTTATTATGCAGATATATGTTATTGAAAATTTTAGAATTTACGACATTCGACTGGGTCTGCGGTCTACTTATTGTGTGAACTGTAATAAAAATTTTTTGTAAATTTTTTTTTCGTTCTTTTCTTTTTTGATGTAAAAAAATAAAATTATTTATCCTCATTTTTTTTACGTAAATTTTTTTTACAGTTAAAGAGTTTTTTTTTAAAATTTTTATTTCCTTACTTTTCGTTTTTTTTTTGATATAAAAAAAAAAAATTATTTTTCTCCATTTTTTATTTTTTTAATTAATTTTCTTTCTTTTTAATTAACGATTTGTTCTTTTAGTATATTTTTTTGTTTCTATTTTTTTTTCATTTTGTAATTAATTTCTTATATAATTCCAGTTTTGACTTTCTTTTAAGATTTTTCTTAAAATTTTTCTTTTTTAAATGTTTATGGCTGTAATAATTTGATTTTAATTATATAATATTATTTTTTGGGTATATCTTTTCTATAATACTTTTTTGTAAAGTTTGTGGTCTGTAAAATTTTTCTTATTTAAATATTATTCAAGCTGTTTTTTAATTTCTTTTCGTTGCTTCTCGTTTATTATAACAAAAAAATTATAAATAAATTTAATTTTTTTCATTTTTAATTTTTTTTTTTTATTTTTCTATATTTATTTCCACTTTTTATTTCTTATATCGTTTAAATAATATTTTTTATATCTGCAGATCCCGTACCCAGCTAGGGTTTTTTAAAGATTCCAACTGCATTCTCGCTTCTTCTCTTGATGAAAATATTAGGCTGTCTGATAAATCTACTGGGGAAGTGCTGCACAAGTAACTTTATTATATTTTAATTTATTTTATGTTTTTTATTAAATTATAATTTTCAATAATTTTTTATTTTACTGGTAAATTTTATATATAAAAAAGTTTTGACACCTTCAGCATTTTTTTTGTTGGAAACTATTTTGATAAATTTTATAAATAATTTTGTTTAATTTATTTTCAGTATTTTTTATCTTCCTCGAAATTTTATCTTACATAAGGATTGTTTTATAAACTTGAATTTTTTTTAACTTTTTAGTCGTAATTGAATTAAAAAATAATCATTGAATATTTTATTCATAAACGACTTTTAATTTTGATTTTTTTTATAATTAATTAATACTTATTGGAAACAAATTTTATTTTTAATTTTTTAAATTGTAATTATTTCTTAATTTTTTATTTATAATTTAATTATTTATATAAACTTTATTTTTAAATTATTAAATTTTATTAATTCATAATTTAATTATAAACTTGATTATTTCTTATTTATAATTGAATTACTTTTTATTTATTATTCTTAAAAAATTAATTTTTTTTGAATTTTGTTGATACATAATAAAATTATTAATTATATTGTATTCATAATTAATTATTATATTACGAAAAAATAAGTTATATGTTTTTATAATTGAATTATTCATTTGAATATATCAATAAAAAATTTTAATTTTTTTTGTTTTTTATTTCATATGGATTTTTAATTTATTATTCAGAATTGAGCTATAAATTTACTTTTATTTGTATTTTTTATTCGTTATGATTGAAATTTAATAATTATTAATTATTTTATTCATAATTGAATTATAATTTGATTATTATTATATCTAACTTATTATAATTTAATTAAAAAAATAAATTATATTTATTTAATTTTTTTTAAATTTTGTTAATTTATAAATGAATTATTAATTTGGTTATTTATTAATTTTTTATTCGGAACTGAATTATAAATTTGATATTTTTTACAACTAATAGTTATTATTACAAACTAATAAATTGTGTATATATAATTTTTATTAGTATATTATTAAAGTATAAATTTAATTACTTTTAAATTTATTATTATATAATTGAATTCTAAATTAAATTAATTTTTTAATTTTTATACAGAATCGAATTATAAATTTCATTAATTTTAAATTTTTTATTTAAATTAAATTATAAATGTATAATAAATATTTACTACAAATAAATAATATATTTTTAATAATATTGTAAACTTTTATTAATTCATAATTGATATATAAATTTAATAATTTCTTATTTTTTTATTCAGAATTGATTTATTAATTTATTTTTTTTTATAATTAATTATTATTTATCGTAAACCATATTATAAATATTTTTTAAATTTACGTTTTTACAAATCATAATTGTTTACAATATTGATTATTTTTAAATTCTTTTTTAGAAATGAAATAAAAAATTGAGTACTTTTGTATATTTATAATATGGATTCAACAAATTATATATCTTTAATAATTTTTTTAAATCTATAAATAGCATAATTGGTTTGTAAAGTTGATTCTTTTTTTATTTCACTAATCCACAATTGATTAATACGACTATTTTTTTTTAATAATTATTTATTATTTATTTTAAACAAATAAATTATAGATTTTTAATTTTTTTAAACTTTTTTATAATTTAAAATATAATAAATTTTTTTTTTTAATTTTTTATTTTAACTTGAATTTAAATTTGATTATTATTATAATTAATTTATTATTCTTTATTATTATTCAAACTAATAATATTTTTTTAATTTTTATAATTTATAAATTAAATCATGAGTGATTACTTTTATGAACATGTAAATTTTATATTTTTAATTTTTTTTATATTTTTTTTAAACAGGACTGGATAATAAATTTGATTACTTTTATAATTAACTTATTATTATTTATATAAAAATTATATAATTTTTTTTCTTAATTTTTATAATTTATAATATAATTACTACTTTTAAATTAAATAAAATTTTTATTTTTTAGTTTTATTATTTTTAAAATATAATTAAATTATAAAATTTATTATTATTATAAATAATTTATTATTTAATTTAAATAAAATTGTTGTTCAGAATTTTAATTTTTTTCTTTTTTATTATTCTTATTTGGATTATAAGTTTTATTACTTTCATGAATTATATACTTTTTTTTTATATTACATTTTCAATTAAATTTAAATTTGGTAATTATTATAAATATTTTATTTATTTAAAAAAATAAAAAAAATTTATAATACAATTTGAATCAATTTTTTGCTTTTCTAAAAAAATCGTCAATTATAATAAAAAAAAAATAAAAAAAAATATTAAAATTATATTAAATATGATTTTATTTTTACTTTACTGCGAGTATACTTTAATTCTGACTATTATTTATTTTTATTAAAAATTTGTAAATTATAAGAAAAAATTTACTATACATTTCAAATAATATAATTTAGTTTTACTTTTTTGCGAGCATAAATCCAATTTCTAAAAATTTTGTAAAATATAGGAAAAAATAGAACTATAAAAAAAATTTACACTTTTTTGCAATTATGTAATATTTTCTAAAATTACTTATATATAAATTTTTAGTATTTTTTCTTATTTATTCAATTTTATTTTTTTCATATT